ATGCATCGACACGTTGACATTGACAGATTTAAAAAATTGTCAATGCATCGACAAGTTGACATTGACAAATTTGAAAGTTGTCGTTAAAGGTACCCGATTGATGTAATTTTAAGAATGAAAGGTTTTTTTTATCTTGAATTCATATTTTTACAGTTTTATACAGTTGAAAATTTGGAAACGTCTTCTATCAATGCATTGACAATTCCATTTTGTCAATGTCAACGTGTCAATGCATTGACAATTCCATTTTGTCAATGTCAACGTTTCAATGCATTGACAATTCCATTTTGTCAATGTCAACGTGTAAATGCATTGACAATTTTATTCTGTCAATGTCATGGTGTCAATGCATTGACAATTTCATTAATGTCAGAGAATTTATAATTATCATTGATAACCTAATCACTTATTTCAAATGTCAACTGTTCCCGGTTGACAGTAAAACCGAATCACTACTTTTATATAAATACAAGCTTCCGCATAGGGACTACATACCCTTATATTGGAGTTGACCCGAAACTATAAGGCTTATACAAACCAAACTTGCACAAATGATGCATCAAGGGATGAAAACTCTCAAACTTGCTTCAGATGCTGGATTTTAATTACGTTTTCATGATGAAGAACTAGTTTGGAGTTTTTTTTATAGGTCTATTCCAAAGTATCAAATCAAAATTGTATAAATTTTGCATTTTTGGATGTACACTTTTCGTTGGTTAATTGTGTGACTTTGCCTTATGTAATTAAAGACAACATTCATTGAGGTGAGCTCTGTAATGTTTTCTAATAATTTAAACATCTCATTTCCCCATTTCTGCAGGAAAAAAATAAATAATATACTTGAAAAGTTTAAGTTTGAAATTAAATTCAAAACATACTCCCTGTCAATTTAAAATACCATGTGCATGTATATTTTGAAACAATATTGTTTAATGATTGTTTTGATTCACTTATATAATTGTGCACGATGAAATATTTTGAACAGAAACATATTATTAGTTTAATGATTGTTTCACAATTTCTGTTTTAAGACTTATATACATATGATTTTATATCCTTTTCCAGAAAGAGGACAAAATGGACAAAATTTCAACAATTTAAGCTTTAACATTTAAGAGCGCATGTGTGTTCAGGAACAATATTGACATATTTCATTAATTCAGTTTACAAACAAGAATGTTGCACAAAAAATTATCATTCTACACATTATATCAAAATATTTATCCTGAACACACATGCGCTCGGTGACTTTTATTCAAAATTCGACGAAAATACATTTTTCTGCAAAATTCATAAAAAAACTGAAATTACGTCATATTTGTTGAGTACATATGACGTCATTACTTATGAAATTATTCTGTGCTTTGAAGTCAGCATATACTCCCCTGTTTAAGGACTTAATTAAATATTACTCCATCAAAGTTTGATTTTGGGGGGCAAATGTTGGTTAATACCGCATATAGTTCTTTATGAAATCTGAAAGCAACTGAGTCAATTGATTCAAAATTTCAGGCAAAGGAAGTTAAAATAGAGAGATGCATGATGTAAATAAAACCTACTTGTTGTACCTGATGTGAAGGCATACAGATAATCAAAATAAATCTGAAATCTCCTTTCACAGACAATAACTTAGTTTCAAATTCTTGTAGCTCATCTCTGCAGAGGCAAACTGTCTGATTGGTTACCTTGAACACCCATAATGCTCCTTGAGAGAAGTCTAGTATGGTGTAAAAAATCTAAGTCCACACTTATTCTTGCTCATACCATACTGATCTTCACTTATAAGTGAGGTATAAGTGAAATATTCACTGATATGAGGCTCAACTTTACTTATAAGTGAAGTATTAACAAAATCTGTTCCTCACTTATACTTACTTTGACTTATAGTACACTTATAAGTAAATTTCAAAATTTATAAGTGACTTATAAATTGCTAATAAGTGGATTATAAAAAACTATAAGTTTCTATTAGTTTTGTCTGTAAGGGCAGTTTTCATCAGAAAGACCGACATTGTTCTACTGTGATTTTCAAGCATTTGTTGAAATCATTGGGATTTGAACCTGTGACTTAAAATTAGCCACGTACTTCTTAACTCCAAAGCAAAATGCTCTAGAACCACTGCAGATCTCATGGCCCTCAAAAAAGTACATTGATTGTCTGTAAGCACTGAAGGCTTATGGAAGGTTGAAAAATACACTCGGATGTCCGGTCTTTGGGTATTTGAGAATCTTGTCTTTTAATTTATTCAATTTATATAAATGTACTCTGGCCTGAGATATTTCACAAGTTCAACTGAATAACAGCTTTTAAACAACATTTGTATGATACTTAGCATTTTGTTCACAAATCGCTTTCTTTTATACTTTTCTTATTTATAAAGGTAATTTTCCATTAATTTTAGAATGTATTTTCAAAGTTGCTGTCAGAAAAAAAAATGTTACCTACCTACCGACCCCACTTGAGAATTTAGGGTTGGGTTGAGGGGAAACAAAGAAATTTTTACTTCCGGCCTAATCGCTTTTTAATTGATTATGCCAAGCCGATTTTTACTGATAATTGAGTCTAATTTTTCTCTGATTCCCCATCGCTATAGTTGCCTGCATTTTCCATTTTCACAGTTGTTTCATTGATAAGTTTACAAACACTCAGAAATTAGATTTCTATGATTTATTTATGATGTGTATTCCTTTAAAGAATGAGTGCACTTTAGTACGTCATTTGGAACCTTTTCGGCTACCCATTTTAATCTTTACATTACAAAATATCGCTAAATTGATTTATGATTATTGTGAAAGCATATGCTTTTGATATTTATGCCTTGAATTTTTTGTCATACATATTTCTATAATTACAGACAATGCTATTGAAAAGAACATGTATAAGCCTTAAATTCCGGAAATTTGAACGGGACCACTATCAAATTTAATGTACCTGCAAATAGACGTTTAAATCCCATGAATGTGGAATGTAAACAATAGCACATATGAATTTTTCGCAATCAGATGCTACACTATGAATTTAAATGGTAAAGAGAGAGATTGTGTAGTTTCATGGTGCACACATAAGAAATGATTCCAGTGTTCCAGTGTTTAGGGATGGGGTAGATATCTCGCCCTGCAGACCATAATACTAAGACGACATGAGCCTATATTTACTAATTTCACTACCAATATCAAAATTCTTTCAAAAAACTCCTGACGAAAAATACACAGTAAAATAAGAGACATTTGATCTTCGAACCTTATCAAAATTTGCGCTGAAATCTTCCGTAGTTTGAAGTTGGAAGTACAATTGATACTGTCCGAATAGGAGCTTCAAATGACAAACACAATGAAATGTTCAATGAAAGCATTGGCATATCGAACCTTGGAATGTCACATGAGTAAAGTGATTATAATATCAATCATTGACGCTCAGGGATCTGTTAATTTAGTGGCTAACTTGATGGTAGTTTGGAGACTTTTAAAAAATTAGATATGAGCCGCAACTTGGCCAACATTGTCCTTTGGATATGTATAAGTTTTAATTAAAATACACATTCTCTGCAAATGAGACCAATGGCCAAGTTGCGGCTCGATGTAAACAATGTCGTTGAAAACTGGTATGCATATGAATAACAACAGAAATGTGACAAAACTGTTAGACCCTTGTCTCAAAAGCTAGTGTCGCTCGGCATTATTTAGTACTTTCATGTAATATAAGATACCAAAACCTGCTCTTAAGACATTGTTTAATACCTATAAAACATCAATTTCATGAAATTCGGGATTTTATTTTGCACAAAACACTGGGACCCATCTCTCAGAGCTTAAGTGCAAGGTAAAGTCTACAAATCTGTTACTAAAGGTACTATCTGAAAACTGTCAGAAATGAAAACATAAAAATGTCTGAAATAAAGACAAAATAAAAAGTTGATAACACACCGTGTTACACGATGCAAAGAAACGCTGACTTCAAAGATGCCGGCATGGTTGAGGTCCATGCTAAAGCATGGACTTTCGGTCCACGGGCCCCGTGTTTTGTGAGGAAAACTCGTGGCCTGTACTGTAGGGAAAATAAAAATACATTACATGACTTCTGTAGATTCGTAATTATATGCAAGGAATTAATTTCTGCATAATTTTGTGAGAGGGATCACTCATGAAATAATATTACTTGCTTTTATTTTTGGGTTACTGAAATCCATTTAAATTCTACTGATCAACTGTCCATTCGAATTCTTATCCTTGTGATTTGATGTTAAAGAGCTATTACGCGATAAAAAGTACTCGCAAAAAATGAGGGATTTACAATATATACAATTTTTTGTTTTACTAAATTTAATGAAATATATTCACCTAAATTATGAAAAATATCATTGTTTTATAAAAAGCTTATGTAAAAGAACTGCATGGAAATAAATTAGAATCATTATATCCTGTAAGACTAGTTTTAAAGCTTGTCAACCAATCCGGAGAATTCCAAACTCTTGAAAACTCAAACTCTTGATCTCTTAAGAGTTTTTTCTCAGTCCCGTTGATTTCGAAGTATCTAGAGTTATCGGTACTTAACACATTAAAGGCTGTACATTTATAAGTATATATATAAGAATATGATCACACATCGTATGTATAAGAATTTTATTACTATTTTTATTAAAATTGTAGCAATACAAGAGTTGTCCAAAAAGTTTTTGGACAATGGTGTTTTTTGTCAAAATGAATGGTTCAATATAGTTTAAAAAGTGAAATTCTAGTATTATATAGGAATCGTTTCCTATGACCTTTAATTAACCCATGAATTAATGAAAAGAGTAATTTTTTATAACATATCTTAATACCATAATTTTTATTTTACTGTAATTTGTGTTTTCATTGTGCAGATGATGATTGGTGTTGAACCTTTAGATTATTATAGAATATTGAATATACACATGTACACCTGACTATCAATCATCCTTTGTATTGTACCACTGATTGGTATATACATAGTTATCCTTTATATTTGTTTTATTTTACAG